CTTCGCAAAGAAAAAGTCGTCGTCCGTCCGGGAAGCTGCACTGCTTAAACTTCGTTTTCCTCGCCGAAAACGAAACCCTTGGCCCAGTCTGCCTCGGTTGGGAAGCGTCGTCGTCGTCCGTTTAGTTGTCGAGGCTTAAGGTCCCTATTTTTGAGTACTCCACTCCTGCAAGCGATGTTCATGAACGATGAAAACAAACGGCACGGACAAGCGATTAAAACTGCAAGAGAGACTACTAACAATCAAGAAAAGAAATATAATTCGGTGAAACATTTACAGACGAGACAACAATTTCCATTCACGAAGACAAGTATTAAAGTGTCTCTAGAAATCCTGAGTCTTAAAGCGTAAAGCTTAAGTTTATGTTTTAAGCCGGCTTCCTGGCGCGGTGTTTACTGTTTTCAAAGATGAACTCCCCGAAGCAAGAAAATCGCTCAAAGTTTCCTTTCTACAGCCAAATTTATAACTAAATATTCTTCGGAACGTTTTCTTCCTATTTGCGGTGAGAAGATATATCTGAAGGCTTTTTAACGTTCTGTAAGCTTATATCAAACCTGATACTAGGCCCGATCATCGACTCGGGGTAAACTTACTCGGGGTAAACTTGCCGCATAAGCTGTGCTCGACTTCATGAAATTAGATATAACAAAAACAAACATCAAATACAATAATGACTCAGGCTTACCATTCGAGATTCAGTTCCTGAAACCTATTAAGGAAGGCCACAGTTGCTTGAGACTTTTAAACCCTATTAGGCATTAAACTGTTGACCGGCTGGGAAAGCTTCCATCAAAGGAACAACAGCTTTCGAGAACACAACACTTTATTCTCAAAGCACATGCAGCCATCTTCGTTTTACACATACAATACGGCCCACGCGGAACACCGCTGACCCCTATGATGCAACGACAGAATTGTCTCCTATCAACATCCTCCCTTTCAAAGAAGACTATTATTATGTTAATATGTTTCGAAAAATAAAAAAAAAAAAAAAAAAAACATTAACACTAACAAATGTGAACAGGCAATGTCAGATAATAGTCAACATCGAGTACCATACTGCACTCTAGTCTCCAGTTTCCATGGTCCAGTCTCTTTGGTGGTCTAATCTGCCGGCCATAACGCGAGGTTTGCACTGGTGGAAGTGAATTCTCATCCGTGGACTCTGAAGTGTGGTTAGGCACTATGGTTTCCGCAGAATTTCCGACATCCACCCCACTATCTATTACTGGTTGTTCTGGCAAGGGTTGTGGGTCACATGGGACCTGACGCTCATTAGGTCTTAAGTGGATCCTGTTCCGTCTAACCAAACCGTCTTGCGTTTTTATCACGTACGAACGTGGTGTTACCTCGCCCAAGACTTCGCCGTGACCCCGCTGTTCACCATGGTGATGGTCATTTGGCCTGGTGTACACATACTGTCCAGGCGTAAGAGGGGGTATGTCTCTGCTAGCAGTTTTGTCATAGTGAGCTTTGGCTTTAGCTCGCTTACCCAGATGCTCGTCACGGACTACGTTTACTGGTGGCACATATTGGCTCAACAATGATTCAGATATTGGCAAGTTAGACTTTGTTCGTCGGCAGAGAAACCTTTGTGCCAGGGAGTAAGTCATACCCTGAAGCGGAGTGTTCCTATGGTCCAAGAGACCAGTGCAGAGGTCTGATTTTTTTAACATCTTCTTGGACTCCTTAACGGCAGCTTCAGCTTTACCGGTAGCTCTAGCATAATACGGTGACCGGGTAATCAACTTGAAACCATAGGTCTTGGCAAAATTCGAAAATTCCTGAGAGGTATACGGAGGTCCATTGTCGGACAAAAATATATCTGGTATACCATAACGGGCAAAGTGAGCCTTTGTGACTGAGATAACATTGGCAGCAGTGATGTCTTCATTCAACAGTTCGACCTCAATCCAGTCACTGTAGTAACAGAATACCAACAGAATACCAACGCCCACCCTGCTTGAATAGGTCCTGCGAGATAAATTTCCATGGACCTTGTGGAATTTCATGAGACAACATCGGTTCCTTTGGGAGGGCCGAACGATAGCTAGCACACAATGAACATTTGGCACTCTCTTGAAGGATTGCAGCTTGCATTCCAGGCCAGTACATTACTTCTCGAGCCCGGCGAATCATGCTTTCACCGCCCTGGTGACGGTGGTGGAGTTTTTTCAGCATAGTAAACTGTAGCTTCCCGGGAATGAGGACTTTGTGTGACTTGTACAATACACCATTGAATACCGCTAGCTCATACCTTAACGGATAGTATAGTCAGGTCTCTTAGGGTCAGGATCGTTACAGAGTTGACAAAAGCACCAAATTTTGCACAGCGATAGCTTATTGCAGTACCATGAATATTAGAGGGGGTGCCCACTTCAAATATGTCACTGAAGCGTGCTAAACAGGATTTAATTATTGTAAATTTCATCTGCTGGGGTCCCTGTGGTGTTTTGATTGGAAATTGTTATTTAATACCTTAAATCACTCTGAATTCTAT